TTCATTCTTTCAAAATGAAAGAATGTTATACCCAATAGCGAGTCAATGAATGTTTCCAAATCTTAAAAAAAACACGAATTTGAGCGGATATTTCCTTTCATATATTATAGGGTTAGGTGGATCGAATGTATATAATGATGACAACATCAGAGGAAGCGCTAAGATAGCTTTATGGAACGGGACCTAAGACTATAATCCAGAAGTATAATTCACCGATTGCCACGCACCGACGCCACCCCAAGTATAAGCGAGTATAAAGAAGAGTATTGGGGGAGTATAACAATGCGGATGTCCTTAATAAGATAGGACAGACTTAGAAATTCATAAAAACACCAATGAACTCATATAAAAGATAAGTTGCATAATATGCATAAATCCATTACAAATATAATTGATGAATGAAACCTTCAACTGATTTTTTTCACTTTGTTTTGTATGTGTCACATACATAATCATGTGATCGTTTAAAATATAATTTAGAATATAAATGTATTTTTCACAAATGAAAATATTTGCCGACTACAGTGTCTCTCGTCTCACAGGAAATTGAGACACACATTCCTGTACACAGTAAATTTCGTGTACACAACTGGTATAAGATAGTGTGAACAGGGACATGAGTAACAAAATAGCCCACAAGCCATGTGGGGAATCTATTCCGGGCCTTCGGCGTGACGAGCTGGAGCTTTAACCACTAGGCTATCCCATCGCCCCCATGAATCATTAAAGGAAGATGGAGACAAATGAGCGGCTAAAGCCTCCACCAGATGTTTTACAACTTCAAAGCAGCGAGACAGACAACACAACCGAAATAGACGTAGAAAAATCGTTGGACGAGAGTTTGGTCCCAGTATACACTCAACGTCGGGATAGACTCTCTGTAACATAATACACAGTATCACCTTTCATCACCCTTGGTCGTACTTGCCATCTTGAAAATAAAATCTTCTATTTCCAGATAAAATGATATTAAGGATGATAATCGTTTATGCATTATTGACTAATTTCTCAAAGGATCGCGCTTTCCATTTATCATCTTCTATTGATCTGAAAGGAGGGTAGCCAGGATGAGATACCTTCTATAAACTAATCCCAGTGACAGCGTTGAAGTTTCCAGCTTACAGATTATAAGGTTATCGATATGATAGCGTTGCGATTAGGCACAGCATTTTTTCTTGCCATGTTGCAGGTTCATATGGTCATAGTCGTTATTGGCAAAGACGCATTGTGTATATCCTATGAGCTGAATGTACCAAAAACCGTTTCTTGTGAGTCTGTATGATGGTGCATAACACTCCAAAGCTTAAGCTTCCAAAACGTTTTATGGTAGGCGTGTTGAGGACAATTCCAAATTTGACGCATCAGCGACAAAAATGACGGTCGATGCAGTTTGTTCAGGTGAACACTTGAGTTGCCTTTGTATGTGTTTGTGACCTTGGGGCAGGATACGTTTATCTTATCGCGAACACCTGGGATCGTGACTGTTTGATAGTGACTCACTAACACACACTCGTTACACAGAATCGAACAATGGACTCCGCTTTCAGCAGAGATCTTCTTATTATGGACATGTTTTGTCGCTTTTATTCACGCCATTAGGTTCTACTACACCAAATCAGAACCAGTTTGGACAGTGCGGTTTTCAGTGCAGATCTAGAGATATCTGCAGGCTGTGATTGGAGGATATTGTGTAAGATTTCTATGTCTTTTAAATGTACATCCATCCAGTTATTAAAACTGGATTTTTTTATATTTAGTACTGTCTTTTTCAACATGCTGACTTATGCTGAATGTGACCACAGCTATTTTCAAGTAGGTGACATTTGGTGCGAAACTGGGGGTGGTGTGTTTAGCTTCCTGTACTCGGAAAAGGAGCTGGTCTCTTTTTTTTAGTTTTTATTGCTGCTCTAAGGCCAAACTGTGCACACACGTACAGGTAAAAGCTGTTGAATGCTTACTAGTTATTTAAAAAAATATATAACGTTACTATAGAAGTCTATGGGAAAACATTTGGTTGTGTGTAACCATTACGTATTGTCGGTGTTGTCCTTAAACGCCATTTTACTCTCTCCACACCTACATCACTAGATTTTCTGACCAAGATGCGACAGTTTACAGGTCGCCCTCAAATAGCTTGAATGTTGCTGAGTGCGGTGCTAAAATCAAATTATTTCTTACAGGATATCAAAATTCGTAATTCAACACGATCGCCGAGCGACCATTTTTTATTTTCAAAGTAGTCCACATTAAAACATGTTTGATAAGACTGCATGGTTGTTTACATTTGAAATTAAGACAAAACCATACAGGTTCCACTCACACACAAAATAATTTCACGAATCAGGATATGCCCTGCTCCTGTGTCCGTCAAAAGAGACGTGGTATTGACTTCGGAGACTGCTCGTACAGATCAGAGGAAACTCGACACCGCTCTCGAGGCTATTCCGTCGACTCCCTGTGAATATATGTATTAGACCCATGTTTTTCCTTGAAATCCTTTGGACATGAAAAATATTGAAAGATTAAACACTTCCGCTGTTCCACACAAGGCCATTAGTGTAGGAAGAAAGTATGTGTAACTTCGATAACTCCCCTGACCGCTAAAGGCAGCTTTTTACTCCCTTCGAATTTACATTACCATCAGCAACTTACCCAAACCTACCATCAAATCCTTCTGTAACTTTTAAACTGTGGATGAAAATGGTCTTCAGATTATCGATTTCGGAGGAGTGTAAGATATTACGGAGTCAAGGACGCCATAGCCATCAGGAAAACATACTTATTACGAGTGAAAGGTTCGGTAATCTTATGACCTGACACTCAGAATCGTTTATCGAAATGGAATACGTGAAAATCAATCGATACAGTTTGACTGCCTTCCCCAGAGAGTCCACAGTAATATCCACGATCATGTGTTCCGTGTCTGGCGCAAAGAAATACCAGTTTCTTAAGGCCACAAGTAACCTTTTAAAAAGGGCGTCATCGGAAAACCATCTCATACTTTGCAATCTCAAAATGTCTAGGTGCAATTTAAAGACTGGTTTATCGTTTCCAGTAAACTAGTACTGCCTCATTTACTACAAGTCACAAACACGCCTCAATGCATTTTAGACGATGATGAAGTAATTACTCTTGTATATGTATCAATACATCACCAAACCTATATAGGGATAAGCAGGACAGAAGTGGCACAGTGGTCTACGGTAGTGTCTCGCTGTGTAGTGATATGTCCATTAGCTTACCAGAACAAGCATGATCTGTATTCGAATTCCAAATTGCCAAATTATTACCCTTGGTCTGTCAGCCCCATACCTATGCTCTGCAGCATCTGTGTAATGGTGTATTTATTAGTTGTACCAGAACCCTCATGTCGTGAGTTCGAGTCCCAAATTGCAAAATCATTCCCTTGGTACATCAACAAGCCTTTGCTCGTGGGTTTCAGCTATGTGGTAAACGTGTACGACATGCGTCAAATGTTCTCCCATTAATCTGACATTAAGCTGTTGTATCATGAAATACTGTTCAAAAGTCTTGAAACCCAAATCACTGACACTGGACCAAGCAGCGTGACATTCAAAGTGAGCTCCGTGGTTTGGTTTGGTTTGGTTTGTTGTTTTACGCCGCACTCAGCAATATTCCAGCTATATGACGGCGGTCTGTAAATAATCGAGTCTGGACCAGACAATCCAATGAGTGATGTCATGAGCATCGATCCACGCAATTGGGATCGATGACATGCTTCAACCAAGTCAGCGAGCCTGACCACCCGATCCCGTTAGTCGCCTTTTTCCGACAAGCATAGTCGCCTTTTACGGCAAGCATGGGTTGCTGAAGACCTATTCTACCCCGCATCTTCACAGGTCGAGCTCTGTGGAGTCAGGCTATATTTATCTGACAACACGCACCAAACGCACATGTACTGGTCAACCAGTATCATATTATATCTTAACAAAGCGGTTTCGATTTCCGGTTCAGCTTGATTATGTTTCGTGATTTGTCATTACCATACTCAGGTTCATAGTGCTAGGATCCCTAAATAGAACGAGAGGTTTGAATCTAAACGACAGTCTTAGCATTTAGAAGCAAGGGTTCCTCTGTAAAGCACCATCGAGAGTATTTGTCAAACCATATGACAGTTTTAGCATTGAGAACCACGGGTCTATTTCTAAAGGACCATCGATAGACTGTGTCAAACTATATGAAGACACCATTGAGATGCACGGGTCCCTTCTAAGGGACCATCGATAGACTATGTCAAGCCATATGTCAGTCTTAGCTTGGAACGAAACCCCAACCCGTTTAACATAGCGGTCTTTGTTCCATGACCATCGTCAATCTGTGTCAAACTATATTTGTATTATAAACTAGGGACCAGTTCCAAAACGCAATTGCAATTTTCGTAAGTTTATATTGTAGTATACTTGCGACAGATGTAGGGCTACAATCGCTTAGTAAAAAGGGTCCCCGGTTCACAAAGCAATCAAGGCTACGACTACGAGTTTAAGCTAAAGTATATAATTTAAGATCACTGTAGCACTACAGTCCCTTTCGAACCGGATCGACCGCCTCCGTGGTCTAGTGGAAGAGCGTCCCACCGGAGAGCGGAAGGTCCGGGGTTCGATCCACGGCCGCGTCATACCAAAAGACGTTAAAAGATGGTACTTGTTGTTACCCTGTCTGGCGCTCGGCATTAAGGGGCTAAAACAACGACTGGTCGGCTCGGAGTCAGTATACTGTGTCTGAGTGGGGTATTCATGTTAAACTGCGGCATGGTATCTCAGTGAGCTAGCACTATAAATCGGCATCAGTCCGGACTAGTACAAGCAGCCACACAAACACGTACATGTACGTCGCTATATAAGTGCAATAATCTTGGAAGCGACGTTAAACCCCATTTCACCTCACCTCGAACCAGATCACTGATCGAAAATTGGTATAGAGGCCAACATAGAGTTAAGATTTTTTTCTTGTTTTATCAATATGATGTAAAAGTGTTTTACCTGAGCTTCAAGGTAAGGTTGCACAGCAGTGGGTCGCGCGCTGGTACATCTCCGCTTCTACTGGAGGCACAGCTCCCTGATCGTGGTGTTAAGTCCGCATCATCACCATTTAGTATGTTGACATATGGCTTCACACACAGCTCCTATTGATAATTACACATAGTTTAATGCTCCACCAAGGATCGATTAATACTACTAAGTCAGACAGATGGAGGGCAAACACTGAAGCTCCATTACCTACTTGATCAATACACACTGATTAACATTTATATTGCATTGCAAATATTCATCTTCTCTATGAAATACTTAAGGGATTGATTTTTCCTGATAAATCATGCTCAGTGACACATATGTAATAGTAGCTTCTGTCAAGGAAACTGTAATAGAACGTTCGATTTTGATAATACGAACCTCCTCAAGTGTTAAATTATTCTTCACTTGTTTACCGATTAATTTTGGCTTTGTGACCTGTGGTCAGCCAGCCTTACTAAGGATATCCTCAACCTGAAGGAGTTAAATAGTCTGTCGGAACTAGGCTGGTAGGTTAGCCTATGGATTTGAACGTTCGCTCGTCACGTTGTGTGAAGCCCATTTCTGAAGTTACCCGTCGTGATTTTGTTGGAGTATTGCTAAAAGCGGCTTAAAACTATACTTACTCACCCACTCGTTCGTACTACTACTACTACTACTACTACTACTACTACTACTACTACTACTACTACTACTACTAGGTGTAAATCCGTTTCTCAAGTACTAAACTGGCGGGCAAAGGAGAGTATAGTCATTTCATCTTTGTTTCATTTTTAGCCATCATTAAACATGGGTCCGTACTTTCTTTAGCCCGACAGTTTTGGTTAAAGGTTAAAATTTTTGTCAAATATTCTAACGTCGATGGATGAAACTTAAAAACTAGTTCGTAGGGTAAAACAAAATGAAAGTAAAGAAAACGGTATTGCTTTGCAAATCAGACGCCAATGGGCTTCTTTTCTTCCACTATTGAACAAGTGTTTTTCCTGACTGAATTTTGATTCGAGGAAAGTAGACAGAAGAAAAAACTCAAACGTTCTCTTACATTGGTCCTACTTTGGATTGGCGGGGCTGTAACCAAGTAAAAATGAAAAACTGCTTTCACAAGTATGGAATAAACATGGATGCCCGTATGAAGACTTATCAAACTGTCTTGGTCAGAGTCATGGCTAAGTGTGTCGAAACTAGGTGTTAATGGAGGTCTTCGTGAGGATTATGAATCATAATATGACCCCAGCAGTACGTGCTTTTAGTATGAGCCGTCTGACATGGGGATCTGTTGGACCCGACTCATACTGTCACCGTTGATTGGTGCACATGCTATCAACCCCCACATGGTGTGCCCAGCCCAGACTCGACTATTCACAAGCCACTGTGCTATGTTGACATAATGCTGGCTGCGGCGTACAATAACACCAAGTTACTCACCAAAGTGTTATAAGTCATAGTTTCATCTTGCAGATAGACATTCAGAAGTAATAATCTTAGCAACTGTTACTTTTCAAACATATTTCTCAGATACCATTTGAAAGAAAATCTCGCTCAAATACATCACTATTTTTAGGATAGAGCCCAAACGCATCTCTTCTTTCAAACTAGCTTAATTTTAAATCAAGTATATATTTCAAGCGAAAAGGTACCCTGAAGCATCTAACCTCATTGCCCTGACCAGTGAAAAAATCACACTCAAATGAGTCTCTTTTTAGAACATATACCGAATCACGTCACTCCTTTCAAACCAGCTTATTTATAAATCAAGTCTATATCTCCTGCAAAAACGTACCCCGAAGCATGTCACCTCATTGCTCAGTTCTACTGGCTTCTCCCGCCGCCTGGTGATCTTGCAAATGTTTTTTGAAACGGAAAAAGTAGTGATAAATCTTCCGGAAGGGTTCCCTTTAGTTGGTTCTCGATTCTAACGCTTAGTCTAATCTTGATATTGCTATGTTGACCCGACCACCAAGATGGTTAGAAGCACTTTCCTTAAAGTCGGGCTCAAGCCGCATGACTGCATCTCTAAATGGTCATTGGCAAACGGCGCCATACACTACCTGTTCAGTACGTGCTGCACTAACTGGTCATTACTTATGGACCAGTGTTATCGAAGTTATATCCGCGGGATTTAACATAGCGTCATAATGGGGTCTGATGCAACTATAATAAGGTCAGCGTGTTTCTGTCCCCGTTCCTGCTCATGTGCACATTCCACCCCGGTTGCAGTGGTACCATCCACCTACTCGTATAAACTCCAACAAAGATATCATTCTTTATTCATTTTAGCAACCATTCCATTCTTAATATATTCTAGCAATGGTTCATTTTCACAACATTCTAACAATGGTTGATTCTTGATGTATTCTGAAAACGATTTCATCCTTTATACATTCTTGCAATGGTTACTTCTTGACATATTCCATCAATGATTAATTCTTGACATATTCTGACAATGATTTCATTCTTTATACATTCCTACAATGATTTGTTCTTAGTACATTCTAACAATGCCTTATTTGTACAACATTGTATTAATTGTAACTTTTTGATATATTCTAACGATGGTTCATTTTTACTACATTCTAACAATGGTTACTTCTTGATATATTCTGACAATGGTGTCTTTCTTACGACATTGTAACACTGTTTTTTTACCACGTTGTAACCATGGTTACCTCTAATATTATTCTAACAATGGTTCATTCTTATTATATTCTAGCAATGGTTACTTCTTGATATATTTCATCAATGATCAATTCTTGATATATTCTAACAATGATTTAATTCTTTATACATTCTGACAATGATTGGCTCTAACTACATTCTAACAATGCCTTATTTGTACTAAATTGTAACATTGGTTTATTTATAGTACATTGTAACAATGGTTTATTCGTAGTACATTCTAACAATGCTTTATTTGTACAACATTGTATTAATGGTTATTTCTTGATATAGTCCAACAATGGTTCATTTTTACTACATTCTAACAATGGTTACTTCTTAATACGTTCTAGCAGTGGATCAATCTTACTACATTGTAAAAATGGTTTATTCTTACAACATTCTGAAAATGTTTCATTCTAACTACAGTCTGTAAATGGTTAATTCTTTATATATTCTAGTGATGTTTTATTTCTACTCCATTGTAACAATGGTTTATTTGTACTACATAGTAAGTACAATGGTTACTTTTTCATATATTCTAACAATGGTTCATTCCTACTACATTGTAACCACGGTTCGTAAATTTATCAATCTAACAAATATATATTCATTCTTAACACATGCTAACAATGATTCTTTCTTGATTTAGCACAATGTCACTAATAAAATATCACCCAATATATGTGTACATATATAACACATTTATTCCAATACTATTCACTGAACAACTAACAAATCATTTTTGTTCTTACTTCCTACTCATGGATGTAACTACAGTATCCTTTGCTAACCGTATTTTGTGGAAAGGTTACTAATCTTAAGTACCTCAATCAGTGTGTACTGTGTACATGCACTAGTGCACTCCAATCTTGACCGGAAGACTTATGTGCAGGGGTGCCTGAATTGGTGTGCATAATAAAGCTACACTTTCTGTTGTTATTAGTCATGAATCACTGTTGGCATTAATCACTGTAGGCATTTCTCACTGTAGGTATTTGTCAATGTAGGCATTACTCACTGTAGGCCTTTGTCACTGTAGGCATTAGTCAATGTAGGCATTTGACACTGTAGGCGTTTGTCAATGTAGGCATTAGTCACTGTAGGCCTTTGTAACTGTAGGCATTAATCATTGTAAGCATTTGTCATCGTTGGCACTTGTCTCTGTAGGCATTTGTCATTGTAGGTTTTAGTCACTGTAGGTATTTGTCACTGTAGGCATTAATCATTGTAGGCATTAATCATTGTAGGCATTGGTCAATGTAGTCATTTGTCACTGTAGGCATTTGTCATCGTTGGCATTTGTCTCTGTAGGCATTTGTCATTCTAGGCACTTGTCACTGTTGGTATTTGTTACAGTAGGAATTAATCATTGTAGGCATTTGTCACTGTAGGCATTAGTCATTGTCTGTCGTAGTCACTGTAGGCACCAGAGACCACTCTCTCTCTACAAAAGGCGGTTAGAAAGGGGACGGACATGACCGTTACAATATCAAGAGGACATTGAAACCAAAATAATAATAACACCCACAAAACCCTCAAATAATTCTCGTACCCCGTTCTTGACCAAAATGTGGATTTCAATTGACGATGTCGATACCTTGGTAAAGTGGTATTATTTAACAAAGTCGATGAAAAGTTTACGAAATTAAAGTTTCTCAACAGCTGACGTGTTATATGCCGTGTGAACGATTGTTTTTCAGGCAAATCAATAGTGTTTGGTTTTGTGCGCTTTCAATATTAGCACTACGAGTGACAGGCTGTGTAGAAGTCTAGGTGACTGACTTTTCGTAACCGTCATAGGGGACCAGTTTATAAGAATGTCAAGATTTTCAGATTTGTTCCCGAAAGATTATATATAGCAATGAAACCGCTGTTGCTAATGTGTTTGAATTGGTATTTTCATGCTGAAATTGACTGGAAATCCTTGCGATTTCTAAATTCCTAATATACCCTTTGGGGAGAATACCAAGGGGCGTAAGGGGGAGCGTATCCTCTCCCGACGGTAGCACCCGTCACAAAGAGAGTACCCGTCACAAATACGCCTAATGTTATCGCCGAATTTTATATTTAGCCCAAACTAGGCTCATGCATGTCTAAAATAAGGAGTAATATGCGAAATGCCTGACTGACTTTTACTTTTAAACTGCCCTCAACCGCTCCTCCACACACACGCACACACGCACGCACGCACGCACGCACGCACTAGTGAAAATCTCCTACTGAAAGTAGATTGTTGAGAGTTTAGGAAGTCTTATTTCTCCAGGTATATTCTGCCAACGGCCAGTCTCTTCGGCTAGTTGTGATTTGACGTAAGGACTTTTCCGTTTTGTATAATTTTAACTGCTATTTTGACTTTTACGCCCAATGAATCAGTTTAGTCGGATAATCGAGGCTGGTTTTTCTCTGTCGTTGGCGTTTTATATACTAGTACTCTCTGCATAAAATAGAAAAGCCAAAGTAGTAAAATGGTCAATATCTGTCCGAGTGCTGCCGACATGAAGACAAAATTAATACCAAAATGAATTGGTTATCTCTTCATGGATTGGGATT